CAGTACAACTCCATTTTTATTGCATTGACTGTACAATTGTAGTGACAATGAAACGCACAACAAGGTTAGTATTTTTTAAAATTTTGCATGATTTCCTAAAGTAAAGTTTGAGAAAATCTCCATTTTCTAAATGGCTAATTACTGTATTTCATGTGGTACAGAGAACAAATTCGTTCTGCAGCCTTCATTAGATCAAAGCAGCAGAAATTGTGAATTAATTAAGACAACCCTCAAACAGAAAGTAAAATATGTTACAAAGACAGTAGGCTTTTAATTATTTTTAATTCATTGTAATCTTAGAATTGCCTTTTAATATTTAATACATATTGAGTGTTGAGCTGTCCAAATGATCTATTTATAACAAGCATAATGATGAGCTGCTGTGTCTGCTCAGTGATAAAATAAAGCAAGATGGCTATTAGAATCTATGGGGGTAGCATGCCAAGAGCTTGTCCCAATAGCCTTTAATAATGAGCCAGTGTCACTCAGTGAGTTGAGTGTATAGTTCTGAATGCTGCACCTTTCTTCATTCTTTAGTTCACAGTGTATAAAAGGGCAGTCCATGTTCCTCTTGCCTTGCCTGTTGGACCAGACATTCTTGAAGAAGTGAAAGAAGAAGGGTGGAACATGCTTTCAAGACTCCCTGCTATGTTTACAGAAGCCAACACAGGTTGGTACTCTATGTTGTGATGAATTTAATCCGACCAATGCAATGGAACCAGAACGTTAAAAAAAAACATGCTCACATAGAAGTTCACATTTTAAAACATTGTTCATTATATATTGTTCTTTTCATTATGTTGCTTTGAGTTTCTTCTAAATTTAGAAATTAGAATGTCTAATTATAGATTAACATCTCTTTAATGTTTATTTGAAATTAAGAGAATGGAAATAAGATGAACTATTACAACAACATGAATAACCAAAGCTCCGCACTGCATGTGTTTTTATTTGACTTCTACATTATTAAGATGTAATTGTTTTATTTCCTAGCGGAGTGCAGTGGAGTAAATGAAACAGTGATGACTTTCAATGATGTGAAGTACAACAACGAAATGCCCATTTCCTGTTACCAAGTGCTGGCTCAAGACTGCACTCCTGAGCTCAAGTTCATTGTTATGTTGAAGAAGGATGAACGTTCTGAGCAAAACAGTATCAATCTGAAACTCGCTGACGTGTGAGTACAGCAGTAATTTTAGATGGATGGAAGGACACAAAACTCCCTTAACTTTTATTAAAATTATTAACTAACAGAATAACGTTCTCCAGCTTGATGCCTAAGAGCTGAAAAAGTAAAGATCCCAGCACAAGGCATACCCTTATTTTGATTTTGCAATGGTTTATTCCATAAAAGAATATTTTAAATCAATTGTAATTAATTTAAAAATGAAAGGAGGTTTCACTGCATAAATGCATTAGATCCTGTATGTGCAAATGCAGCTACTTTAGTCTCATTGATATTTTATATGTGATAAAATGTCAGAACATTAAAATGCACACTCTTACTTGCAAGGGTATAATCATACTATAATAAAACATACTGTATAATGGTAAATCATCCCTGATCAGTGTTAATCTAGGGCTAGAACTCTTAACCACCGATGACGCAGTCTCTTGTTTCGAATGTCTTATTTGGGCCTTCTTCCTCCAGTGACATTGACATGTACCAGGGTGAATGTTCTGTGCAGCTGGCAATTGATGGCGTGGAAATTCCTTTGGCTACCCTTCCATACGTACATAAATCAGGTCTGTCCAAGCACATCAGAACTTCTGACATTCAAAGGGAAAAGGCATAAGAGATGCCACGGACTGTATTTTCATAGGCTTTCACATGTCTTACTAAATCGTTGTTTACCTGTATGTACGTTGACATGTTGCATTGCTTTGTTTAAAGGGAAAATAACAATTAATATGAAGGAAGATGGATTGGCTCTCACCGCTCCAAGTTATGGCCTTCACGAAGTCTTCTTTGAAAAGGACAACTGGAAGGTAACGCGGGAAAAATATATACTATACATACAATACAAACACTCATATACAGTATGCATCTCTTGAACAATGGCTAATACATTGTACTCTTTTGAAAATCAAGATTCAAGTTGTTGACTGGATGAAGGGACACACTTGTGGAATCTGTGGAAGAAGTGATGGAGAAACTATGCAGGAATATTCGACACCTAACAGCCGTATTTCTGAGAATGCACTAAGCTTTGCACATTCCTGGGTCCTTCCGGCTGCGAACTGCGGTAATGATTACAGTAAGTATTGTCTCCTTCCTAATTATATGCACATAAAATTCCATGAACTTACCTCACTGACATTTTGAAGATGCTATTTGCATTTTGAGATCAAGGTGAAGAATTCTAACCAGAACAGAACAGAACAATTCCAAGAAAGACTATAGCAGCAGTTAAGAGCTGTTGAGCAATGCCACTAGAAATTGGTTCAAAAGATGCTTATTGCATCAAATGTGTTTGAAAAGAGACCAGCATCTATCATCTTTGTACCAAATTTTTTCCAGAATGCACCATTAAGCACGAGTCCGTGAAGCTGGAGAAGCAGGTGGTTCTCGAAGGACAGGAATCTAAATGCTATTCTGTGGAGCCTGTGCTGCGCTGTCTGCATGGATGTCTTCCAATTAGAACCACACCTGTCACAGTCGACTTCCACTGCCTGCCAATTGGTGAGTTGCAAGTCAGCTGAAAGATTTTAAGGAGCATTGCTGTGACTTTTTACCTTAGAATTGTAAGTAGTTTTGATGTGGTACAGAGTACACCACCAAGGAGCAAATGAAAGCACAGCTGAAGACAGCTGAGGAAACAGCAATTGCATCTTCATTCTTAATACATTTGACTGCATTAGTACATTAGCTGCATTAAATAAGGACTCAAGATCAAGTTTTAGCAACATATGGACTTGTTTTATTTTAACTTTTTTTTAAAATATACGTTTCCGATTATGTTTCAGACTCCCATGTGAGCAGATCAAGTGGTCAGAGCAGCATTTGGGAGAAGAGCGTGGATCTGAGCGAGTCTGTGGACGCACACATAGCCTGTCGCTGCAGTGAACAATGTGTTTAAACGCCTGCTGGCTCTGGCCCCTGCAACTTCACTTGACAAGTTATAAGATTTATTCATGGACCTATCTTTAACTTTCTCAAGTTATTCCCTGTAAATTGTGAAAATGTTAATAAATTCAAAGCAGCATAGAACCTTGTGTTATTTTCCCCACATTTTGTTGCGTTAAACAAAAGAAAAAAAATGGCTTAACAATAGAAAAATGTTCACTTTCCCGTTAGGTCTTTTGGTTACAGCTCGTGTAGCTTATACAACACTTTACCTTAGTGTAGGAAAGAATGATACCTTTTAAATAAAACTGCATTCTATATAGGGATGGTTAGTTCATTATCTTTCAAACGTAATCTCCAAGGTGCTAAATTCAAACCCTGATAGCACTTTTCATCTCATGCGCTTTGCATATAGGAAGAGTGCACTTCAAGCATTCAAGCCATTGTGTGCCAGCAGTTCCACTCCTCAGCACATCTGTAGTGCCTCTTTAATGACCAAGAGAGAGAGTTTGATGTCTAATCTAAAGGATGGCACCTAATACAGCAGAGTATTCCCAGTCAATATTGTTTTGTACATTTTGGTCCAGAGGGTACATCATCACTTACTGGTCTACCAGCACTGCTATTCTCAACATCAGCCATGTACTGTAGTGCTCGTTAGGAATCTTTCACCTTAGTCACGACCACGAATTTCCCTTGTAATGTAGCATCCGGGATATTTCAGGATTAGGCTTCAAGATACTATTGACAAAACACTTCTAACCTGTTTGGTTAGATTTGGGGTTGGATTAGATAACCATTTTATCTAATCCTAATAAAATTAGGCAAGGTTGAAATAAGAATAATACTGTATATGTATGTATCCTCTTAAAGAGGAGCTGCACTCCCAGTTTCTCGGAAAAGTTATTAAATCTCAGTAACAAAACGAATTCATTGACATTACAGAAAAAGTTTACAAATTTCAAATTAAGCACAGAATCGTGAACTTTGTGAAAGCACCATGTTATTGCAAACTCACATTCACACTACCACGAGCTGTGATGTGGTTTGGCCCTTCCTCCTCAGTAGTCACTGTAATGACTAATGTAATATGTATGAGCAAATACATAGAGATTGTGCAGCAGACATTTCACAGCAGAAAAAAAATATCTGAAAACAGGAGATTGCAGGGAACTGAATGAATCCTGCAGAAAACGTGGAACTGTACTCATCTAGGAACTATTCATCAGTTATTATAAGATGTGATATGAACTTGTTCTCAAGGTCATGTGTTAAAAATACAGAGCTCTAACATCAGACAAGACCACGTGCTGTAGCTGATACTGTATATGAACACCCAACTGACTTTAAATCACATGTATTGACTTTCTAAAATATATATTGTTGGTTTTAATCAGGTCCCGTTACTTTTCCTTATTGCAATAATGTAGCACAAACTGGATGAATATGAAAAGAAACCACATCATGGAAATAGAGAAAACTCTCAGTGATTTGTAAATCTAGATCATTTACAATAGCAGGTAAACTCTGGCCCGTTGTCATATTAGATCTGGCAGAAATGTTTTCCAAAAAGCCCATTTTCATAAACCATAAATTACAAAAAAACCTTTGTTCAAGTTTGAAATAATTTAACCAATATTAAAAAAAGCAGATCCAAACTGTGGTCCCACTAGTATCTCACTTTGCTCTGGCCAATTGTCTCTACTATATCCTATCTCCAGAAAATCTCCTTAAAACCGCTGCCTAATCTGCGATAGTGTAAAATCCAGAACACAGTGCCTGGCTGCATGTCATTGGCACTGCCAGCTTACACCTTGAAGATAATTTGCTGGTAGTATTTTCGCAGCACTATGAAAGCTCTGTCAGGAACTATTTTCAAACTGCCATGGAAACAGTCTCTCCATTGCAAAGAGGTAAAGATTCGCAATGGTTTTTTTAACAACACGATCAAGGCTGTAACATGATGCCAGTGTTTCTCAGAGGCACCGAATCAGGATGGTGGGACTGAAGGGTTGGGAACGGCTGATACATTCAGGGCTGCGGCCCTGCACTACGAGGGGGAGGGCTGTGCCCCTGCCCGGGTGCCGTCCGCGAGGGGCTCGGGGTGGCAGGACGGCGGCGGCGCGGGGCCGGGGCACTGCGGGTGGCTCTTGTTGCGGTGGGCCGCGACGTTGTCTCTCTTCTCGAAGCGCTTGCCACAGATCTCACAGGCGTAGAGGTAGCTGGACTCCGCGTTGTGTTTCCGCATGTGCCAGTTGAGGGACGCCTTCTGTCTGCAGGTGAAACCACACACCTCGCACCTGTGGAGAAGGCAAGGGTCCAGGAAGGCACGTTATGCCTTTGACGTCTTGCAGATGAGTAGGAAAAAACCCCACATTCAGCCAACATAGATGTAATTAACTGAAGCTCGGGACAGAAAACTACTACAAGAATTTTCCCCAGCTGTTCCTCATCACAATCATTACTGAACTGATGGATGTCTAACACAAATACCACTTTTTACCCTCTCCACCCCATCTCCACCTTGTCCTATGCCCAGAGGACTGTCCCTTACTAATCAAGCAGGATGAGTCAATACTATCCTTTCTAAAATACACAAACATTCACAAAGCTTCGGATTCTTGGATGCTGTTGCTCCTCGCGAAGTCTGCATTGCCTAGATCGTAACATTAGCATGACAAGAAGAATGCTGGGTTAAAAAGGCAGCAAGATTTATTTGTAATAAATAGAATTTGTCCACTTTAAAATACTTTTTAGAACAGAAGTCGATTTTTTAGACGTGGTAAGAAATATTTGCTAGGCTGCCCAACTCTTCAAGAAAAGAATTAATAAAGACTGTAAAACCAATAAGATGTGTAGGTGAAACAAGAATTTGATATGTCAATCCTTAAGCACTGAAACATTGTGCCAAGGGAGATATTCTTGTTTCCTAGTTTCCCAGCTGAAATAATTACTTTCTGATGCAGTTTTATTGTTAATAGTTTTAAAGACTTGAATCTGAATATTCCAATAGATTTAAAAAATCATGTAAAACAGGAGATAAAAGAGCTACAGTAAAATAAGCAGTTCATTAAACATATTATGTATAACCTCTCTGCTCTCCAAACAGTAACTCTGTAAATAATTTACATTGAGTCTCACTTAAAAACCCTTAGAATCTTATATCAGTAAATTATTCGGAACTGAGTTTTAGAACATCAAAGTCAACATTGTGAAGGATGTCAACTCCATCGAATCAAGGGAGTTAAGTAATGGTATACTTTAGGGGGAGCAGCCGTAAGAACTTCAATGGGAAAACAAGATGAAACTCACTGCAGAGGTTTTTCTCCAGTGTGAATCCGTCGATGGATGATCAGATTGCTGCTGGTTCGAAAAGCTCGGGCACAGAATTCACAGATGTAATCCCTCTTATCTCCGAAAAAAGACAGACACGCATACAGAATCTTAACATCTCTGGTGCTGAAACCCCGCCTCTGCGTTACAGGCCACTTCAGCCCAGGTACATAACCCTCTAGCCAGCATTACGTTTGACCCAGTGAGCAGAATCACCTTAATCTTCGGAGCACTTGAGGATTGAGACCATTTCCAGATATGACCTGCTGAAAATCAGTGCACTAAATAGACTAAATAGCCTTCGCTTGATTGCAACCTGTTCCATGTTCTTTTTCTAAAAAGGTATACTAATTACCAGATTAAGTAATTCCACCCATCTTCCCTGTCTCAGTTCTTATAAATACATATCTGCTCAGACAAATTACAGAAGCTTTACATTCTTCTGTAACTCTGTTTGGCTTATCTAACACAGTTTACTAGGTGACAGGGAGGGTGTGAACTGTCATTGGGATCCCTGCTTCTGAACTTTTCACCCTAATAATAATGTTGTTATAATAATGTTTCTTTATTAGCCCTATACAATTTCTTGCATTAGGAATTCGTCTTTTCGCATACCCCAGCTTTTCTCCATGGAGACACAGACACACAGACAGGGAGAGAAGCTGGGGGTCAGAGCGCAGGGTCTGCCATCGTACGGCGCCCCTGCAGCAGTTAGGGTTAAGGGCCTTGCTCAGGGGCCCAATGGAGTAGGATTCCTCTGCCGGCCGCGGGATTTGAACCGGCAACCTTCCAGTCACAGGCGCAGATCCTTAGCCACAGAGCCACCGCTCCGCCCTTATGTCATGATGAATCATTTCCAAATTTACACAATAGTTCAATTTCTTGTACATCCCAAAAAAACTTATTTTCTCAAGGTGCTAAATAGATGTTGTCTATTTAGAATTTTCCGTCCCGTCCAGGAATCAAACATATGTAAAAATAACTATTTAGAGTACATGCGTGAGGTGTTTTCAGGGGTCCAGATACTCAATCTGGGGTCCAAATACTCTTTCTATCAAATCCCTCGCTCAACCATTCACACAGTGAAGTACAGGGTACAGGACAGAACGGACTTTAAGTCATTTTTAAGTCACTTAATTGAGTTAAAATCAAGTAGTTTGGTATAGGTAAAGCCAAATGATTCTTACTGCTGTGTAGCTTCTCATGCTCCTTCAGGTGTTTTTTGAAATTGAAAGACTTTCCACACGTTGGATGAGAGCAAGCGAAGGTCTTCTGTTGAAAGTGCTGGTATTTCATGTGATGCTAAAAGACAGGCAGGCTTATATTCATTACCATCAAACACTTGAAAATATGGAAATATTTAACTTTACACACATCTAATGGCTTTGCTTATTACTGTAAAGTAATGACCCTTATCATTGCGACACCATGCATTCTATATCATACTGCTCTCAGTGCACAGTGCCAGACTGGCCCTGTGCTGTTTCACACTGATTTGAGCTAAACCCTCTAATCGCTCTGTGTGGTACCTGCTACCACCTGCTAATGCTGCCAACTCTACATTTCAGACTCACATTGAGATACTGACGAGTAGAGAATATTTTCCCACACCCATCAAATTCGCAGGGTAGAATCTCCCTCTGAGTTGCCTTTCTGTAACACAATTACAACCAGACAAAGTAATAAAAATGTGAGCAGCAAAAAGGATGTATTATTTTGTACAGATGCAGTTTTGTGTCCTTTGCACAGGTAAAGCCTTGTTAATTTAAAAAGCCGAAGTGCTGAAAGGAATACCAAAAACATTTGATGCAAACAAATTTCATGCAAGTCTCCTCGGAATGAGGCTTGTGTGGTTTGTTCAATATTCATGGAATTATGATGTACTGATCTTTATATTATCACAATTTATTTCTTCACTGGGAGGACTCATAATTTATAGTAATTCCTCAAATGTCTATATCAAATGTCTTCATCCTAAAAGTGTTTTACATATAGGAGGATTTACTTTGTCAACTGATGCTCAGTAGTGAACTGTGGGATGCGATTTCAAAGTGTAAACGTAGGTATTTCATTTTTCAAAAAAAGTTTTCAGTAAGGTTTTAGAAATCCGTTGCCAGGTTCAAAGCACAAATATCAGGTCAAGTATGTACTGTATATCCACATTTCAGTTTTTCATTAACAAACTAGGTCAATATCTGATAGTGGGATCTTTTTTAACATATTACTGTGATGTCAAAAGTCAAACATGAGTAAGAAAATATATAATTTTGCTTAAAGAATGTATAAATAATCCTATTTGTGCAACATCTTCCTGTGGCGATCTGCAATCACTATTTTTTCCAAATTCTTAACCAAATGCTTCTTGTGTTCTTATGTCACCTTCTGCTTTTTAGTCAGCATGTCTTCAGTACTTGAACACAAGCTACAGGAAACATCATATCTAGTAACCCAGAAATGAAATTACTCACTGACACTGACCTAATTCTTTTAGCTCCAATCTGTGAAATATCATCGTCTGTTCCCCTTCTTATATTCCTTCTGAAAAGCAAAAATATAATATTTGAGAATAGTTCTTGATTCTTCTCTACCATGACCTTTCTGTGTCATTTTCCTACCTCACGTCTCTCTGTTTATTTCTCTATTAACCTTTTCCTTTCTGTACTTACATCAAACCTCTAAGTATTGACAACAACAATAACAGTAAAATAATTATTTACACTTGTATAGTGCTTTTCTGGATACTCCACTCAAAGCGCTTTACTTGTAATGGGGGCTCCCCTCCACCACCTCCAATGTGTAGCCCCACCTGGATGATGCTCCAGTACTCTCACCACACACCAGCTCTCAGTGGGGAGGAGAACAGGGTGATGAAGCCAATTTATAGATGGGGATTACTAGGAGGCCATAATTGGTAAAGGCCAATAGAAAATTTGGCCAGGATGGTGGGGTGACAACCGTACTCCTTTCAAGAAATGCCCTGGGATTTTTAATGACTACAGAAAGCCAGGACCTTGGTTTTATTTCTGAGCCGAAGGACAGCATCTTTTTACAGTATAGTATTCCCGTCACTATGTTGGGGCATTAGGACCCACATAGACCAGGTAGAGTGAGTGCCCCCTACAGGCCCAATTAACATCACTTCCAGCAGCAACCTTAGTTTTCCCAGGAGGTCTCCATCTAGGTACTGGACAGGCTCACACCTGCTGAGCTTCAGTGGGTTGTTAGTTGTTAGTTGCAGGTTGATATAGCTGCTATCATATCGACCTCTTTGTCTCTCTGTTGACCCTTATGTCTCTGTATTAACAATGGTCGTTGTTTGGTTTAATCCCTCAGTCCCTCTCCCTCACCTGTTTTTCTCTCTCAGACTCTTCCTGGTTTCCCCGGTTGCTTCTCCAGTTTGAACTGTGTTCCCATATCTCACATTCCTCACAGGGGAAGTGGACATCCAAGAAACTGCAGCATCACTGAGCACCAAAAAGGCACATTAGCACCACGTTAACACCATAAATGCTTTGAAGGAAATTCATATTTCTCAATTTCAAGAGGAGGAGACATGTATTAAGAACTACAGGGCATAGAATCCAAACTGCTGTCACAGGCCGGCTTCTGATGTACTGTGGATTCTGGCTTATCAACCAGTGTAACCACAACACCTGGGCCACGTCAAACATTAACTGTAGGTCCTTCATACCACAGATAAGGGGACTGACCTTTTTGAAAAAGGGCTATAGTTCTTGTCAGTCAGGTCATCAGTGTAACTTATATCAGCCTCTTCATCCACAGGAGGTGAGTCCTGCTCTTCGCTGGATAAAGAGAACACTGTTACAGAACATTAAAATTATACACTTGCTTCAACTCACATAGTGGTTAGTCGGAATATTATGTACAGTTAACCTAAAGTAACATGGTCGTCTTGAAAGGCAAGGTTTAGACAAAACAGCTCTTCGCTGGAGAAATAACAGCCACCCCACTACTACCATGTCTGGCTTGGAGAGGTATTCTCATACAGTATACTCCCTGTGAATAAAAAAAACACGTGTAACTAATAAGAAACTACAACTTCCAGTACAATGTATTTTATTTCACAGCTTTAATTAATTTTGGAGTGTGCTGTGCTTTTAAAAAAATCAACTAACAGAACATAAAAACAAGTTTGCACAGGCTTTCTACTTAAAGATTGCTCTTTTAATCCCTGTATTTTAAGAATGTTCCTCTGGTATGAGCTCTTCCCTGGCTTTTCACTAAATACCTAACAACTGACAACACCCACATGAGGCAGTTATATCTTTAACTGCTACTTTGGTAATTAGAAACATGATTTGTATATGGCTGTTTATTCAGATTCTGCATCAGATCAATTAAGAATTTTACTACCACAAATCACCCCTCTCTCCTTCTTCACCTGCTTTTCCCTTGGCGTGTTCGAAGGGGTCACCAAAGGTGTCCTTTAGGGAGGAGGCCCACTGCAGAACTACTTGTGAGTGGTATGAAGGACCTACAGTTAATGTTTGACGTGGCCCAGGTGTTGTGGTTACACTGGTTGATAAGCCAGAAGCCACAGCACATCAGAAGCCGGCCTGTGACAGCAGTTTGGATTCTGTGCCCTGATGTGTGAGTAGGGGGAGCTGAGATACCTAATCATTTAAAGTTTGTTAGGGACATGTGTGGGGATGCGCAGTGGTGATGGAGTTGGAGAACATGTGAAGGATGCTGCTTGTGACTGGCCCACCGTGGAACTCCTGAGTTACTAGGCCTGTCAGCTGACAATGTCACAGTCGGCTAGTGACAGCACGCAGACTGACTATGACCAGACTGGCCCTTTCAAACACTGGATATCAGTAGAAAAGCCTCCATTCCAAATGAAATGAAACTGTTTCAAAAAGCACAAAAAAATGCTGACTTGCACAAAATACCCATGTAGAATTTTGGGTTTAATCTCACGGAAGAGATTCCATACAATGGAAGCTACCTTCCCATCACCTTCATAACAAGTAACTCAGTTTTAAAGAATAAACATACTGTACTTTAACTGACCTTGCGTCCTCCAGCTGCGTGTTGTCTGCTGCAACAAGGTTACTTCCACTCTCTACCGCTGTCTCCCAACTACTTACAGAGTCTAAAAAGAAAAGTTTAAAATACTGCAGTCTCACATCTAAAAACAACATCCTGTCTTGTACATCACCGTAATCATAAAGAAAGAAAAGATTTTTACTTTTATCGCTTTTATCACTTCGTGCAAATGAGTTCCTTTAATGTAGACAAGATGTATATGAACAGCTTGTGTGCGTACACCTCCACCCCCAACCCCTCCATTTCTGTCTTGTCTGGAGGAGCTGAAATCCCATAATTTTCTCCTTACCTGCCTTATCTGTCGCACTGTTGCCATCCTCAGCTGCTCGGTGCTCAAGCGTCACCTCCTCTGCTGGCTCGTGTTCTGCATCGGGTGTTGGGGAATTCGAGCTTGGATCCCTCCTGGTTCTGTTTGTAGAGAGTTCCTTGGCTCTCTCTCCATCCTTTCTACACCTTCTGCTCGGCTTTGCTCTCGTCTTGCGAAGGGCAGGAAGGGTCTCCGACTGCGAATTAACCCTCTCTGCGCCCTCCCTCGCCCCCAAGTTAGACTTCTTTGCCCTGTCGACTCTCTCTGAGGGACACCACACAAACACATGGCCCCCTTCGCATTCCCACCTCAGGCCAAGTGATCTCCTTATCCTCCCATCTCCGCCGCTCGTTACTGTATCCCCTCCCATTTCAGGAGAGCCTTGAGCAAGCCTGGATCTGCTCCGGCAAGCAGCTTCACCTGTACCGCTGATGGGAGGACAGGAGATACTGTCATTATTAGAGGTATTTTCAGTACAGTCTTCACTAGTGCCATAAGCGCCATCAGAGCAGGGGACAACAGAACCACACTTATCAGTGAGGTCATTCCTTTTGCAGGTCACTATATCTTTGCAACTGCAATCCCCGTGGACATGTCCAATTGTATCATTACTCTCTCTTGTCGGAGATTTGCGATGGTCACTATCAATATGATCAAAAATGGTTTTATGCAACTGAGCATCACATTTCTCCAAAGGTTCAGCACTGAGTGTGTTTAGCAAATCACCAGTCTGTCTCCTCCCTTTGTTCACCACATTAGAGTGTGGATTAGGACTGTTGCTGTGTGCAGCCTGTACAATTGGAGTAAAATGGCATTGCTGACTGTGATTGTGAACGAGCGTAACTAAGTGATTCAATGACTCCTTTGAGGTCAGAAATGTGTCGAGACTCTCCATTTTAATGACCGCACCTAAAATATAATAAAAACATAAAACAGGGAGGTAAGAAGGGAGATCTTTGTCATACACACGATAAGCATTTTTCATTTTTGGCATCTGTCAACAAACACAACCCCTAATGTCAGCAGTAAGGTTAGACCAAAGCCCTCTTCATAAGACACTTATTTTGAAGAAGGACAGAACCAACTTCAGAGCTGTGCCAAAGGGTGCCGATTCACTGGAACTATTTCAAAACAAACGTTTATACAGTGGTCTTGAGATTTTAAGAAAGAGTGATAATACATGGCAGTATAGAAGAGATTGAGGCTCTGCGTCATGGATAAATAACTGAACTGTGTCTGCTAATGACAGAAAGAGGCACAAAGAAAAACAGTGTTAATATGCTTTCCTTTGATTGTAAAAGGAATCAAATTGTGCAGCTGAACTTCTTGGCCTGCTTACTCATTAGAAAAAAAGGAAAGTGCAAAGGTCACACAGATGACCAAGAGGTGACTGACTCACACACACTGGACCCATTGCCAAACACTGTGAATTCGATACGCCAGCAGAGAAGATGGTGATGCATCCCTGACCAGTGTATTTACCCAGCTCACATTAGTCAGTCAAGCTGTGTAAATGAGCAACAGTTGTATTTGATATCCAGGTGGAGCATTGCATTAATCATACTTTCAAGAGGAATTAATTACACTTTGCATTTCATCTCACTTCATTCACCTCTGAAATGCAGCCCCAGTGTCAGCCACTCTGAGCCAGGAGCACCACTATACACACTACACAACAGACTACTCAGCAAGGCGGAGAACCGAGAAATTACTTCACTAACTGAGGGGAACTATAGGTATTCTCAGACTGCTACATACAATAGAGGCAGGGATATATTTTGGTTATATCAAATTATATCAAATTTACACAATTATTTACACTTTTCTCATTGGGACAATTTTTTCCCCAGACGTTAAACTTAAGCCATCTTAGAGAAACAACAAGAAACATTTGCCTTGTCTATCACTATAAGTACAGTATTTTTTTTAAGTAGTAAGTTAAGAGACATCATGTTTACCTGAACAGCTGATGCAGATGTTCGAAAAATAACTGAGGGAGAGAAAGAAATACTTCAGATATGAGGTCCAAAAGCAAAGCAATGGAGTTTAAAAGAAACAACGAAAATCTGAATGTGACCACCTAGCAAGAAACAACAGGCCTCTGTAGAAGTACTGTATGTAACCACTGGGCTGAGGGCTAGAGGGAGCTTCCTACAGAGCACAACAACCACAAGGACGTGAAACCCTGGGGGCATTATACAGTGAAACAAACTCAAAGACTCCGTCTTTTCGGTTAAAAGAAGACACGTTTGTGTCAAATTCACCACCAACATATCCTCTACCCTGACTCTAAACACTGGAGCCCCCAAGGCTGTGTGCTTAGCCCTGTCCTCTACTCCTTATTTACTGTACCCATGACTGTGTCACCAGGCATAACTCAAACTCCATCATCAAGTTTGCGGATGATACAACAGTCATTGGCCTGATCACAGATGGTGAAGAGTCTGCATACAGGGAGGAGGTTGAAACCCTGGCAGCATGGTGCCAGGAGAACAACCTCTCTCTGAACATCAGTAAGACTAAGGAGATGATTGTGGGCTATAGAAAAAACCAGGGAGGAGATCACACACCTATCTACATCAGTGGGACTGCAGCGGAGAGGGTCAGCAGTTTTAAGTTCCTGGGAGTAAACACTTAATCTAACTACAGCACAGAAGCAGCTAGAAACTTGACTCGTACGATCTAGTCAAGTCCTTTTCTGCAGGACATGGAATCAAGGAGAACATTCCTGGACGCACTCACTTTAACAGTATAATTTACTCATTTATAATCATATCCGCAGGAAAGATGAAGCCGACTTTGCTACAGCAGTACTATCTGACTAGTGCACTGACAGTCAATCTGGACAAAGAGAAATGAAAGCTACAGTAGATCTCTGGGAAACGGGACCTTCTCCAATCTAGTTTGTGCCCCACTGGAGCATGCTGGGTAGACTGATTTGAATCAGTACATGCTGTAAGAGGTATTGCCTGCAAATCTATTAAGGAATCTAATGTTAAATAGATTGAAAATGTGCTTATGTTTTCTAGCCCAAGTTCCCAGTTATTATTTTCTTCATCTTCTGTTTTCCTTTGTTTCTAAGATAATCCAAGTTGTTCACATTTGTCCCTGTTGTTTTGCGTTCCCTCCAGCACAATAACCCACCAACGTGCAGCTTTCCTTTAAATCTGCAAATAAGCACCCAGGGACACACACACCTCCAAAACCCAACTGCCTCTAACCACTCATGCATCAGGACACTCAAACCTGGCAATGACTATACTAAAAGCGAAAGGCACATGGGCTCGTGACACAAAGAAAATTGTTTCTGTCAAATAAAACACCAATTAAATTGTGGCTTTGAAAGATTTTAACTGTGCAACCCCATTTTTTTAAAAATGCAACATATTTCAAGATCTTATACCATAATTTAAATGGGCATGTCACTCTGAAAGCTATGTTTAGAAGCAACCAAGAGGTAAATAGTGAGCACGGCATGGCTCAAATTTGTTCTGTAAGTTCAATAAATGTGAAGAGGTTACACAATAAAATTGAGTTTTGCCAGTATAATGTAAGGTGTGAGTTTGATGGTGACAAAAATATGAAGATGATTCACGCAGAGTGCATGACCAGCTTTACAAAATAATTGGGGATACGGGATGCGAAACTTTTCACACTCCATTTTAATTTTTTTTTTTATCTGTTCTGAATTCAAAAATGTTCCTCACTGCGGTCTGTGCTGATAAAATTCACAACCAACAAAAATGTCACACCTCTCTGGCAAAGTTGAAACAAACGTTATATTTATACAATACATGCATTCTCCTAAACTTAACTCTGTTAAAAATACATGTAGACAAGGGTCTACTTGAAGCTTAGGATTGGCAAGGGTGTTTTTTTTTTTTTTTGGGGGGGGAATGTCGAGAATTTTAGAAAAGAAACCAGAATTTTAGAGAAAAAAACATCCATGTTGGAACACATTTTTGAGGGAAGATTTGGCAAGAGGCTCAGAGACACCTCATAGTGAAGCTGGTACGCTGCCCATCTCTTTACATAGAAGAAAACAGTGATGAAATGTAGGTAGAACTCAGACTGAACTAGGCTTTAGTTTTGTTTTTGTGACATTTGGGTTGTTTCTTTCACACTGCAAAACAGCACGCCTTTTCTTACCTTACAGCTGCATTTCTGCATCTGTTCTTTCCGGAGTCTGGCCTATTTAAACATCCTGTTACGACGACCCATTCCAGGGTATGGCACCGAGGTATATACTGTATAACAAAACCTGAGGTGTGTGTGTATATTTGAAATTTCTTCACTCACACCCACCAGACAGAGCTGAATCTTCCATCAGTAAGCATTAGTATGACGATACACGGTGTAAAGCCTCATGGCCTGTGTGCCATGGCAACCATCTTTAGTGACCCTGGTGTGTTGTCTCATCCCTTGCAACAGTCTCATCTCCCTGTTCATCAGCGCGTCTCTCTGATTGCACCTGAACGCCTGTCTCATTCTCTCTGTGTTGGGTAACATCGGTACCTCTCCAGCAGATACTGTGCGAGCTCTGAATGCAGACCGAACCCCAGCTTTTCCTTCAGTTCTCCCCAGTCCTCCAGGCAGGATCCCAGCCGAATCCGGGACTTACTCCTGCGAGCGTCGAGCTCACGGCGCCTCTGTCGCCGTGCCGCGTCCCGTGTTGATGACATCACTGCCTGAGGACATAAACGGGTCGACAAGGGGACATCCTGACATTTCTGCCACCAACGAGAAAGCATAGCTGAACAAGTTCATTTCCACTCAGCAGTTTGCGTGGACCCTCACTCAGATGCTTCTGAAGGCTTACATTCATAAGGGAGAGGGACTTAATCTGTGTGCATGCCATTTTGTGCGGGGACATTCATGCATCATACGCCAAAGGAGTCACAATTACCTATCTGTGCACATTAATTAGGGCACAATAATCGTATTGCTTCTCATCTACACACCACGTGGCCGCATACCAGAGAGCCAATCTGAACCCTTACAAAAATAAAGTGCAGCGCTGTGGTGGTTTATAACTGCAACATCTTATACTAACCACAGGTGGATAGTCAGGTAAAAAAAAAATGGTGGTGCAGCTCAAATAATTGGTAGTGCAAATGTGTAATTAAGCTGCATTTTCGGCCTGTTGCATGCAAAGCTTCACGTTGTCTGAGCTACAGATCAGCCTCTGGCTGGATTAAAGCCCTGGTGCTGATGATTTCTGACAGATCTCAGTTTAATCGGCGAAGCAGGTTCTAAAGCAGAAGGCTTGGAAACGTTTTCCAAAGACACTGATATGACTGCCATTGCATTGTACTGGTTGATGCGGGAACACGGTCTTTTGTCATGTCTCCAGCACTGTATCTGCCCGTCTGCATGGTGCTCAAACAGGCACTTTACTAAGCATATGATGACGCGGTATGGGAGGAAAAAGCATTACCTACTGTAATTGTGAGGTGTGAGTGTATGCTGTATATATAGTGAGGTGCTGTAATTAATCCTGTCTGGCATCATATGCATTACAGAATCACGTTAAATACATAACTAGAAAATGTATAAAAATCGACATCCATTAGAAACAGACAGTAACGTTAAGTGTTACAATGGCTCTTGTTTAATACAGTGTTTGTTTAGTAACATTTATGTTATATATAAGCATCTCACTTGGCAATAATACTGTATTGTATTACATTGTATTGTATTGTAAAACAGTCAAGCTATATGGATATGAGACTAAGCTATTATTTCCCCAATATGAATCCACGGCGATTCATATTTTATAAACAATATGCATTGTTTGCATAAATACAATAAAGGCGGCGGAGGCTTTCCATGTACAAGTATACATACAGTATCTAACCATATTGCCTGTGTTTCCTGTGCTAATCCATGCATTTTACTTCAACAAGACTGGAGCGCACAAACTTGTGGTCAGTTTCACATTTCTACTACGGCGTGACAGAATCACTCGATGCTGACAACATACTGGACTGGAAAGAACGAGGGAGAAAACCAAAAAGATTAAAAGAATCATCTACAGTGATGTCTATTCACTTTCTAGCACTACACAGTTATTAATGATGTACTATAGAAAGAAAACTATACAACGATATTTGTAATTTGGGATTAATACAAATATTTTCTGAAACACATCTGATAATAGTACAAATGCATGCTGTTGCACACTTCCTGACAAATTTACATTTTTATATTTTCATTCAGAAATCGTACGTACTGCGTTCTAAAACAGCCATTAAAATATGCCCTCGCACAATCAAGTAGAAACACTACTTCCCTTTTTGTACAGACCAATCGCGGACCCCACCCCGCCATTCTTACCGTTGCCCTTTTAAGGAGGAAATTCACTAAAGAGATCTGGTCAAATGTAATATTTTTCGGATCTGCTGAAGCCGCTCCCACTTGAGATAGATATGCGCCGTTACTGCTTAGCAGGTACCAAAAAAAATGATTTCTTGCGCCGTATAAACCCCAAGTAAAAAAAAACAAAGAAAGCTCCAGCGACAAGAGCTGAAAGACAAACAGGCCTCTGAGCCGAGAGGATTGTGGGACTAGTAGTTTTTAATTGTCAACCATAGATATCGCGGAAACAAGTTAGATACACATACTTAAACGACTCATTCTTTTCAATGCCATAGTTGCGACGCCATATTGCTGAGGTCTTTTATTTTTATAGAACCCTATCTCGAAACAATCCGGGTCATGCAATAGATAAAAGTTTACACCTGCCACCAGAGACAATAAAAAAGGACTCATTGCATAAATTTTGTATGCCATTTGTGATCATCCTAAGTTTTCAGGATCAATCGAGCCTGATTTCGACAAGGAAGAAGGTGTTTTCACCAGATTCATAGACTCTTGATCACACAAATGAAAAGTAAACAGAATTCAGTCTTTTGCGCTGCCTGAACATTTGACCTAATCACAACATTTAATAAAAAGTTCAAGGAAAATTCAAGAAAACGATTATTGGAAAATCACAACATAATATAAATCTAAAGCACAGCTTAATCAAAGATCTTGAAGGGAAAAAATCAAAGAATTGTAGAGAGGGAGGAGTTTTAGAATTTCATGCTAAAGAAATATTTAAATTTGATTGGCTATGTTAAAAATGGGGTTGTAGTACTAGATACCCCCTCCCCCACCACCATCCAATACTTGAAGCAGTCTTGATGTGGTTTTAAAGCCCCTGTGGGCTCCTGTGGACACAACAGGATCTGAGAACACTTGTTTCTGAAGACTTGTGGGATTCAAACCTCTGGTGGTTTTTCATTCATATTTTAGTACGTTCTTGACCAGTCCCTAATTTGCTAATTGCTCACCCTTTCCTGTGCATTGAGATACAGTATCTGCTTGTGGGACCCTCCAGCAGCCTCTACTATACTGTACCACGCTGAAAATGCTCTTTATCTGTTAAAGTACAATTGCAACTTTCTCTGCCATTTCATTAATAGATTCATTTAATACAAATGTAATTCAGAATAGCATTTCTGGGACTGTTTCAAAAACCCGCCCAGTTATACTGTATCTATGCTCAGCTCCTGAAAGTGAAATTATTATTATTATTATTATTATTATTATTATTATTATTATTATTTATGTTACCAAGCAATATTCACCATCATTCACACAGAAATTCTGGGAATCCTTTACCTTACGTTCTTTGTGCTGTATTTGATTGTCAATGGAACTGACAGGAAACAGCAGAGTTTGCCAAACTGTGGGGATAAAGAACCTGGAATCCTTGATTTCAGTTATTTTCATGCAAACAAACATCTTCACGAATTATTTGGGTACTGGAATCAAGTCTGCAAAAAAAAAAAGATAGGGGCTTTATACAGTAGTGTAACAGTCTGTAAATTTTTTTCACTAATTTTTCATGTAGTTGTTTTGCATGAATCCAGACATTTTTACTTTCAGTCAGTTTACTGGCTTTAGCAACAGATAAGTGCTAGACATAATCTTTTAAATCTAATCCATGTCATCTAAGATATACATTATTCAAAAGTCAATGCAATGTTAAATTCCATGAGAGTTATGACACAATGTTACTTAATTGATGACTGGGGAGTCCAGATGACCATATAGTAAGAGAGATACAGTCTACCACTCTGTTCCAATACCAGCATCATAAGAGATAAGAAAGAAAATATTCCTCATTCCAGATGAGCATCTGACAAGAATCAAGAACCAAGACTTGCATGAGACAACAGGAACTGACTAGACATCGGAAAATTTCCTGAAATCTGAAACTGCCCATTTTCATTGACCAGATACTGAACAAACTTGTGATCTAAATAGCATGCCTGGCAAAATGAATAATGTCATAAGGTCTTGGGTAATTGTGCAATGTTATGATGATTAGTTTGTACAGTTATAAAACTTCACTTTAGTTTATTTACTAAGTTGTATCCACAAGACATGCAGTATGAAGCACGCTGTTGCATAGTCCCCGCTGTAACGTTGTAATAGCAAATGTCTTAGTATTAGAGATTTGAGGATATTCTACAAACTACTCATCAATTACTTAATGACTGTACATAATGACATAATGTAACAAAGAGATCTGTTTCCAAAGAAATGAAATGTAAATACACATGCACATAATTTAAAATATTACCCTAAAAAACCCTATTATAAAGATGTGTAAAAATAGCTTAAAATAATTGGAAAGTAAATTTGAAATAGAAAGCCTTCACAAACTCTAAGAAACAACTAAATTATTCTAATTCGATTATATGGTGTACCATAAATAAATTCCAAATACTGTAATAAAAAGTTCTGAGTGATGTTAGAAAGCTGCTTTACTTGAAGACGTTCACTGCAGGTTTCTGATGAAAAGGGAAGATCTGAATGGTTTCGAAGGTAACTGACAGGAAATGGTGCAGTGTGTTTTAATGTGATCTGTGGGTGTATGAGTTAGTAACGAAACTGAGTGACTCAGATTCACTCGGAGTTTGAATGCTGTAGGGAAGTAAACTTTTTTTTTTACTTTTTATTTCAATACATGATCATCAGGGTTGAGACACTTCAGATTAGATCCGAAAACCATTGACATAAGATCACATACGTTCACAATAGCACATGACAGCATCTATGCAGGCCACACACACTTACACATAGGCTGACAGGATAAAGCTCTGAGTTTCACACACACACAGACCTACTCACTAGCCTAGACTGCAGCGCTGAGATATACTGTACTGTACATATTCTCCCAAAACAAAGCCATTTAAACAGCAGCATTGAAATGGATGAATTAGGTAAGTGTTTTAATGCAATTTTATGTTTAGTAGGAGCATTTGATATACATGAATGTATTGTATATTTCAGAGATGTAAATGTTTTTTATTTTTCAGTTCAGCAGGTCAGTTTTAATGACTGAGTCAAAGATTTGAGAATTTAAGAGTTACTGGCAATAGAATGTTTTATTTTGTTTTGAATAAGATTCAGTTGAGCGTTTTAGGTTTCCGAGGTCTTAGACATGGCGTGATCTAGAGAATAAAGTCATACAGGACAAAAGACATTGAGAATATATAAAGAAACAGATATACAGCAGTATTTGAGAAAAAGAACTGCAAAGGGAGTATTTTTAAAATGTGTTTTGAGGTGAGGGCATGGGTGAGGAGGTGTCACTCAGGATAACAGGATAATGTAAAAGAATAAAATGGCCACAGTAATAAAATATTTCATACTGTAATTACATTGCACGAGTACACACACTTTGCTGAAACAACAAAGGACAATTCTGTTTTATATGGATAATAAGAAAACTGGTGATGTTAAGGACAAATACAATAACAACAATCACTATTATTATCTTGTAGACAGCTTACTGGAGGAGTTGGCTGTGAGTTCTTCCCAGAGTTCAGAAGGGCAAGATAATACCTCTACAAGAGGCAGCAGAGGAGATAACTGGGTAAATGGGTGATTTTAGAGGAAATTCTTTACACCAGTGATGCATAATGGTTCTGCGCTTCAAAAATTCATAATTAAAAAAATCTGGTTACTTTTTATTTAAGAGTAAAGATATATTTTGAAATAAGTCATCAAAGAGAACTACTGTATGTAGAGCAGTCAGTTATATATTTAGAAGTATTAAGCTTTAAGGACTTGCCCTAAATGTATTTTCATGTTACTTTAAATTTGTAAAACCTTTATTTTTCTGTTGTAGACAATTTAACCTGTAAATAAATGACTGTGTACATCCCTGGCTCTCAGAGGAAACTATTAATGAACAAATTTCCATGAAGTGAAAAAAGTAAAAATCTTTTAAAGGATGTAAGTCTCTGATACAGTACTGTACATCTCAATTTTCAGAAAGTCTTTGGCAACGTCCACTAGGTCAACTGAACTCTTTCTTAAATGTTTGCCGGTTCAAATTTAATGGATTCAAAACTGGATTTCATGTACAGTATAGCGGTCTTAAGAGTAATCTGTGAGATGAAATAAGAACCTGAATCCTCCAGATCTTGTCTGAAGATCCCTATGGAAACACCTATTGAGTTGCTGAAATTAACAGCAGCACCTGTATTCTGAACTGAGTAAACTGACTCCCTGTCACTCCTACATGCTAGGAACGTTCAGCGAATGTCAAATATATCACTGACACACAAATGTAGTTTATGAAATAAAATTAAGTGGAATGAATTATTGAAAGATCATTTCAAATGAAAGGTGTCAATATTTTTGTCTAACAGTATAGGAATGAAATGTACCAGACTACGAATCGCACACTGGTTGACTATGCTGATGATACTGTAAACGGTAAACGCAGGGAAAGGTATCGCTATTCAACAGCAGTGTAAGACACAGAAAGATTTGCAAACAGACGCAAATCTAAAGCAGGGAAAAATTGTAAGGCATAAATAAGTACAGTTCTACACATGTGCAGAATGTGTAATGTGCAGAAGACATAGCAAATGTATTTTCAAACTTTGTTAAACAAGCTGTTTGCAAGGATATACAAGGACAATTTAAAGTAAATTCTGCTATGCAGCACATTTTAATCATTAAGTAGAATCTACAGAGAAGAATAATAAATTAAAGGACAGGCTCAATAAGGAAATACCATTAGCTGCTAATTCCCTCTAATCAGACATGTCACTAAGATTAAATAGCTAAAGGGGCTATTTTGAATTTTTTTAAAAAAGTTTCATCTTCACTATAAATTATATATAACTATAACATTAACAGTAGCAGTTTTTTTAATCAAAAAGCTTCCAGTCTTCTTAAGCTTTTCAATAGTAAGTAAAGGGTAGTAAATATCCCCTATACTTTGGATCAAATGTACATGTAAAGACTCAGACATCTCAGAAGGAATCCTGTGCATCAAAGACTTACAACAGCCTATATACTATATATTTAGTAAAGATGTAGTCTACCAATCCAGCTACATTTTTAGGGCCATTCATAAACATTTAGGAAGAAGCACAACTATTTCTCTATGTACACCTGTTATTGGCTATCTAGCAAAAAGCACCATAAGAGTTTAACCGTATGTATTTATCTTATTAGAAGATAAGGAGATTACATTCTTTAAAGACATTTATTCTGAGCAGAAACTAATGGCATGTCTGACATGCAGACAATTTTTCTGTTTTTAGGAGTTTAGCACTTTATTCAGTTTATCCTAAGCAGATAACAGCTTATTTGTTCTTGTTTTTGTCAAATTTCAAATTGCACGTCTCCTGTTTTACTTTAAAGTCTACTGTACATTGTTATTGTGGATGCATCTCAGGTCCTGGGGAGCCCTAAACCAGCAGGTTTTGTGGGCCATTATTAAATCTCTAGTTTCTAAAGATTCAGAGATGCTCCAATCGTGATCAATAAAACAAGGGATTTGTTAAATGAAGTCATTTCATTTAAGAGCTAAAATATTATAACCTGTCAGCCATCAAGGTCCAGAGATTTCTTAATTGGATAGATTACTCACAAGATTCGTCAATGGATGGACACGCCTATTCTAAGAGCTCAGATGAAAAAATCTTGTTTCAATTTGAATAATAATAGAGTTCAGTGCAGCTGTGGGACCCTAGTCCATGTATAATCAATCAATATATAATCAATTCTACCTTTAGACTGACACAGTCTAATGTTATCTGATAGTTACCTCTACAAAGGTCTTCCGGCTGTGACATACAGTAGAGCATTAACACAGAAGGTGGAACTGAAACATCAATAGGGAAGTTGAGAAAGGAATTTAAAACTTACACCTCCCCATAATATATACTGCCCAAGCCAAACTGGACTTTTTAAAGATGTCTGATTGGAACACAAGGAAAATAATTCTTCAGAGATTTATTCCAGGTACTGAAGTAATAAAATCCTATGTGGGATACTTACCTGGGCCACACAATGTAGTTGAAGTACTAGATAATTTTGTATTCATACAGCATTTTGATCTTAGTGAGGCTCTCATTTTAATGCACATATGTTTAAGGAGGGATTTAGTTTGATAATCAAAGCATCTTAACCATAGGGACTAGGCTTGGACATTAGTTCTTGAAAAAATGCAATTCTTCTTCAGTTGTTAATTTCAATATCCAAGTTTGAAGCTTGTTTCAGTTCTACTTGCCTCATCACATCAGATATGATTTTAACCCACAACACTTTCATTCAGTCTTTTATATATAAAAATGCGGCATTTTCTCTTTTGATTTCTGGTGCTGTATGGTTCTCTTTGCTGGGACAAGTGGGCTGACCTTAACTAGACTATTCAAGGATTTTACACATCTCAGTCCCCCTGCAATGCAGATGTGTTCCATCCAGCATGACTCAGCCCTCATCTAGATAGATGTTTTATTGATCATGGGTATGGAATTCGGGCTCCCCCTAGGTTCTGGGCATTATCCTGGGAATGTACCTGGTCACCCTTTGTACCTATTCCAGAGCAGCAATGTCGATTTGGGGAGGTCTGAGTCAGTCTGGGGTCTGCCTTTGCATCTTCTCTTTAAAGATAAAGACAGACATCCACTGAGAAGGAGTAAAATCCAAGCAACTGCATGGAGAAGAAAAACACATTGATGAAATCAGAGAATGAGAAAGAGAGAAAAATATGGTTAGAAGCCTCTAATTTGCTTAAACAAACAGGAAGTCTCGAGATATTTTCAGTATCACATCATTTGCAAAAATTTAGTATTAACTATATCGAATTAATTGAAGTATTAATTACTGTACTATAATGTCTTATTTATTCAGTGATGCTGCACTTAATTCTTTTTAAAAATATTGTTTGACCCAGGTGACACTGAGCATACAGTAAAAAACCCATTAAAAAACACAATTTGTTTTCTTATTCTCACACAGCCTCATGTATATGTTATTATTTTTATATAGCTGTACTTGAAATATACATCTTCTGCTGTTCCTTTTATTCGCTTGTGTTTTGTCTTTTTTAATGTAAAGAATGGATTACCAAGACACGTTCTGAAAGTGGAGATAAGGATAATTTTAAACTGAGTTTTCACACTATAGAACCACAGTTTCAAACTGGCATCAGACTGGTCATTGTTTGAGCAAGTGTTTGGTCAGAGAGTATTTTCTGTTTTCACATTCCTGCGTGTTATTTCAGAAACATATATTTCTAAACTAAGTTTACCCCCATTTTGTTTTTCCAAATGCTAAAAAAACTACACAGAAGTTAAATAAGTTAATTCGGTAGGCTACCATTTCTCTTAGGGTTAAGGTTGTTTTGTTTTTGTGACATTAGAAACTGGATGTGATAATTTTGCAGAAGATCAAAGCAACAAGGTGGTTTTATCAGAGCTTCTTAGAAACACCTTATATGATTAAATCAACAGTCCATGCATCTGTATTTCCTGTCTCTTAATATTCTGCTAAAATGAGTTTTTGCTTTTGCAAAGTAGCATTCTCTTCTGTGGTTTAAGATGTTCTGTATTGCTAGTTTTTATTATTTGGTTTTAATGAAGCTGTTTAGCAAAGTAAAAACAAAATGCTGGCTGAGTAGTCTGTGTCTCATGTACCTTTGCCATTTCAGGTCCAGCCAGTCTACACCACCAAACTCCCAGCAAAACCAGCACAAGAGATCGAGAGTGAACATGTATACAGGTGAGACTGATATGTTTTTTAAAAATATTTCTGAAATTAAACACACAGAAGGGAAAAGAGACAGAATGAGTCTCAAAATCAAAATGCATCTGCACACACGCAAAATTCTTCCCCGGACTAGTCACTGTTTAGTCCTAACTTAGTCTAATAACACATCCTGAATGTTGGATTTATTATCAGCTCTAAATTGCTTAACCAAATGACTTTTGATATTTAGAATATTCTCAAACAAGCATGAGTATTCAGTGGTAATATACAGCCAAAACTGAAGCAAACAGTTGAAGCTAGAATGTCTACATGCACAACTGAAAGCTCAGATTTTAAAATGAACACATATACAAACAACAAGACACATCTACCCACCTGAATACCTCCCTTCACAGACAAACACACATAAACAGTATATATACTGTATATGCAGGCAGACATAATTTTAATTATGACTAGATTAGTAATGATGTGTTTTATCTTAAAGTCTAATTTAGCGGAAACTACAGTAAACCGCAAGATTTTGTCTTGTAATTAACTGATACACTACATAGTGTACACATTGCAAATTGGTCGACTGTTCTGCTGTTTCGGTTAAATATAATGTGGTTTCTGTGGCCACACCTGCTGCAAAACTACATACAAGGGCAGGAACTGTTTTTCCTTTGTATACTAGTGAGGTACCGCACCCTGAGGAGGCCTGTTTGCTCAGCCCCGGATCAGCAACACGGGAGCTGGAGGCCATAATGACTGGACTGCTAGAACTGGACCTGGGGGTGAGAGGCCACAGACATCGTTTCCTTTCTGCCTTCTTTCTTTTTATTACTCTAGCCTATCGAGTCCAGGCCCAGAGAGTGTACAGTGTGCAGGCCCACAGAGAGAAGAGTTTACAGGGTGCAGACCTACAAAGAGAAGAGTTTACAGGGTGCAGACCCACAGAGAGAAAAGTTTACAGGGTGCAGACCTACAAAGAGAAGAGTTTACAGGGTGCAG